ATTTAAAAGGGTTCATAGAATGCAAAACTGAGTTTCCATTGTCATAGGTGAATAACGATAGTTCAGTGGATGAAATGTCAAACCCCATTGACGCCTCCTTCCTCTGCAAATCTCACAATTCCACCATAAAATGGGTGAATCCAGATGAAGCACCGAGTTGACGTCAATTCGGGGATGTTGACTTATTTGGTTCTGGCCTGTACTTTTGTCACGCCCTGAAATTGACATACAGACCAACCCACTGGTTCAGAAGTTTCGACTGCTGGGCCGCTGACTGGACCGGACCTCAGCAGAGAGCCATGACCCGCCCGTCCTCAGCCGGAGGAGGGCTGCACTGTAGTCGACCGAAATCCCGGACGATTTTCAAAATCCCCCCAGACATTTTTTTAGGTATGAAAAGTGGGACATGTCCGGGGAAACAGAGGATGTCTGGTCACCCTACCATAATAACAATTTGATGTTTCAGTGAGTGAGTGCTTGTTGCTATGATGCGTCTTTGTTCAGCAGCTTCGCTCGTTGTAAATCAACCAATCAGCGCACAGCTCCTCTAAATATTCATTAGCATACTATAAAAATAAGAAAACCTGTCGTTTCATTCTAGGGCTTTAAACCAGGCTTGAATTAGGGCTCATACTGTAAAACATCAAGTGTGCCATTTTCAGTCCAAATACCCTAAAACAAAGCAAATACCCTATATAATCATTCTATCACCCCTTTAAAGGGAAACTCACCCCATCATTTATTTTGCATTTTAAGTCTATAAGTCTGTGGGGTCTGTTGCTGTGCACTCTTTCACATTTTCATGTAATACTTTTTAGCTCTGCATTATTTGTCTTGGAGCCACCTTAGGGTTGCATAACAGATTGAAAGGTTGCTATAGCGATCAAATTTTTCAAATGGTTCAAATGCTAAATGGCAGTACAAGCGTACATCATTCTTATAGGTGTTCATCATCATAACTCTGCTGTCAGGTATTAACACAGCTCATTCAGACACATATTACCGTAGTGAGTCATCCTCAACCAATAAGGCTTCAGATCACCTTTACAAAGCATCCCTGGAACTCCAGATGCGTATTCCAGCATCCCTCTTACTGTACATACTGTAATAAGGTAGTAAACTAACAACAGGAGCTTCAATGTTCAGGATTAAAACACTTTCTGGGATGAGAAGATATCCAACTGAGAATCTGTTGGCAGGCTTGGGAAGTGTTGTTCTCTCAGGTCTCCATTCAGTCTGAGTTTCAACTTTTGTGCAAAGAAAGGGCAGAAAAGCTTCAGTGTCAGGATGTGCAAAGCTGATAAATACAAAATACATGCAGGTGCAGCAGCTACGGTAAATCATCTAATGATAAAGAAGTCACTAAAAGAGCAGAAAACAAATATTTACCACCCTCTTTAGGTATTAATAAGCAAAAAATTTTGAAAACCATGTGCCGTTTGCTTCCTTTAATCATCCGCTGTGGTTTTGGGAGATAAGTGATCACCTATTGCTCATGAACAGGGCACATAATCCCAAGTTTCCTATGGATCTTTACATCCTGTATAAATATGTGCATGTCAGAAACTGCTTTTTAGTGAATATGACTTACCTGTAAACCACTTTGAGAGGTCAGTGTGACTAGAAAAGCGCTACATAAATTCAGCACATTTACTAATGTTTTGTGTTGCTCTATCACACAAGAACCCAGTAAATGAGACAGCAGGTTGTGGTTGTAAACAATCAAACAAAAAAAATTGGAAATGATTTTGTTAACACAGGCAAGGGGAAAATAAAGCAAACTGCAGTTCATTTGGGTGGTAGTCTGAACTCTAACACCTGGCTGCTGCTGAAAGGCAGAGACATCCTACTTCTATATGCAAGTGGGACATAGATCAATCACTTTTAGCCAAATTGTGTCACAAAGACTGATTTGAACTGATTGGCCAACAGTAAATCTGCACATTGCTCCAATTTACTGCAGAAGCGATTCCATGAAATCAGCAGAAATGTATTGATTGTGCAAAAACCTTGAGTGGTTTGCTAAAACGGGCTCATGTTGCAAAAGAGAAAAGATAAACCGAACTTTAAACTCTGGAACAGGAAAAAGAACCTGCTGCACCTGTGACCTTATTCACTGGGATTCAAGCCTCTTTAGCAAAGCACTTAATTATTAATCATTTAATCTGAAAAGGTTTGCTTCATCACACAAAATGGGTCTTTTTATTAACCTTTTTTATACAGATATATTTAATTTTCTGTCCTCTTGAATGTTTTTATCCTTCCAAAGCACCTACATGTATTTGACCTAGATAGTGATCATTGTGAACCTTAAAAAAAATTGTATCAATTAATTCAACATTTACATACTTCCTGTAGCTTTTAACACGAAAATATGATTACAGCTCTTTTAAAATATGCATCACTCTTACTGCCCTGATATGAAATGATGCCTTTGCACTTGATGTGTAAAAATCCTCTCAGGAAGGACAAGGAGTACAAAAAGTAAATAGTGCCATCTGCTGGACATATATGATATTGTGCAGAAAATAACAAGCACTTCTCCCTTTATCAAACCAACCTTTTTATTTGTATACAGAGCACCAGATGCTTTTGTTTTCAATCAAAAAAGCAAATCAAAAATGAAATATGAACAGCAAGCACGTTGGCGAAGGGTTTTTACAACAAACACTTAACTTATGTTCATTAAAAGGAATCTTTATGCTTTTTTTGTAAATGTTATCCAACATATGTCATGACTGGTTGGGGTACAGCAGGGGGGGGGATGTGAAATGTCACAAATTTATTGGATCCTTTTTTTTTTTTTTAAGTATATACACTTATGCAGTTGCTTGTTTTCCAAAACACATCATTGTTCTTTAACAAGACTCTTAAAAAGACAACTGATCAACAACTAATTTGTTTGGAAATAAATCACATGACACATAAGGGAAAATTAGAAAAGTCATGTCTGGATCTTTTGTTGCGATTTATACCAGGCTTTTACGTAAAACCCAGTAGCCTACTGGATTCCAGTAAATGACTCTTTTCTGGTTTGTGTATTTTAGAGTGATTCTAAATAAGGGATGAGAAGGTGCAGGAGCAGTGGGGGTAGGGAGCGGTGGTTTCACAAGTTTATGAGCTCTTTTTTCTGCTCTCAGGGTTTTTGAAGTTTGCTGGCCTAATCTTCATCTCTGCAAATTCAATCGAGTGTTCGTGGCCCTTCCAATGGAACCAGTTTATCCCCTGTGTGACATAAAAAAAGAAGAAAACAGGTAAATAAAAGCAGTGGACTGAAACCATGTAATTAAAACACAAGGTAAAGTAAATGGTAAATCACATGTACTTATATAGCGCCTTTTTTCAAGTCAGGAGACCTGACCAAAGCGATGCAAACCCCTTATTTTTATTACCTTTTGTCAGTAAATTAGACTAAATCTGCCTTGTTTTAGCTCAGTTGTTTGCATGTGATAAAAGCCAGAAAAAAAAAATGTATAACTAAGTTTTCTCTATTTCTTTTTTTTTTTTTTTTATCAAGAAGTTTACATATGCAACCTTGTATTAAAACAGTTTTAACCTTGTATTAAAGCAGCAACAGCAACAATGATGATGCCATGTCAGTTTGAGTTCCTGAAAGGTTTAATCAATTAATTTAAGTTAATTTAGGGAACACCTCAAAAAAATAATGACTTAAGTCATAGAAAAATGAGCCAAAATATCATGAAATTAATTTGGATTCTTGAAAGTTTGTTTAATCCTTGTTTATAATTTGCAGACACCTGCAGAAGCCAAGTTCATTGGTTCAAACAACAGAATAAAAAAACTGCAAACAGGACAAGAATATTCAGCAATGATCAGTTCTGTCTACAAGAAAGGAAATTTATGTGGCACAAAAATGTGTTCATTAACCACAGAACAGAGAGAGTGTTATTATCCACGATAAAATCAGCCCTAATAGAAGCTCCCATCCTAGGTGTGATGTGCAGAGATGACAGCATCATGTTTAAAGCTACTATTCCAGCAAACTGTCAAAGCTTGGCATCACTCTGTCCCATTTTTCCAGACCCTTAAATAAAAGGCTGTTCCAATTCTACAAAAAATGGAGCAAATATAGAACTTAAAACAAATATACAACCTTTTCATCAAAACTATATTTTTATCTACAGACTTCTAGAATGGTGCACAGTTAAAGTATGATATTAATATTTCTTTAACGGATTTTGATGGGTCCAAAATATGGAAGTATCTACTTCTAATGTATCTACTTCTAATGTATCTACTTCTAATGCAAAAACATGCAGCACCAATAGAAAAAGTAGACTGAAGTCGTGGGAAACAAAGCTAGGGCATTGCCAGATCCTTTTAGCTCCATAATAGAACTGAAAAAAAGCCCTTTTACTGTAGTAGCCATTCAAAACATCCCCACTTTCCTTGATGGGTCCTTGGATGGTCCCCTAAGATTCCTTTTTAGACATCAATCTTTGTACTAAAATATTCTGTCATGATTTGTGGACCTTAAGATCTAAAGGGGAGCATTATCTCCTGGTCAGACCCTGTAATTCAGTGAAAAGGTGTAGACAGAGTAAAAAAATATGCACGCCCAGGAGAAGGAGGGGGTCACTCCAGTGGCTGGTGGTTAGGGGGGATTTTACTGGGAGCTGCAGGGAAGTGGGCCACCATTCGGCTGGCGTTTGACTGGGAAGGGCTATTTTGAACGGCTGCTACTGTATATATTTTATATTTTTTAAATTCAAACCAAAAAAGAAAAGAAAAACAATTAAGAAGAAAAAAGAGGGTGAACATTGGAAGAGATTGTAAGCATTAATGGAGACCTAAGGAAGCAAATGGTCTCAGATGTTATGTGTAGGTTGTGGCTTTTCTTCCAAACAGATAGATCAAACATTCAAAGATGTGGGAAACCGTACGGAATAACAGCTGGGCGAGATTGTGCCACTTACTGGCCTGGAGGAGTTTAACTTGAAGCTATTTCCTTCAAGTTAAACAAGTTAGAGGGGATTAAAAAAAAAAACAATCCTAACTAATAACCTAAATTTAATTTCAATATGAAAAATGTAATTTATATATCTAGTTTCACCTGTACCATCAGATACAGCCCCAGTGAGTTAATACATCTAAGAAAAGAGAAGCACTAAAAACCTTTGGGTTAGATGCATTGACAGCGTAATAATTTTTGGATAAACTCACACTTTCATATAGGGAGGGAAAAAGAAATGTACAATGTACCTTACTGTGACTGCTGTCACCATATTTTCCCATGAGGTTTACACGATGGCAGTTTTTATACCAGAAGGCGCCTTTGTAGGACAAGGCGCAGTTGGTCACAGCAATATCGTTATCGTTGTCATACGTAGAGAAGGGCCGGCCCTGGTGGTAGGACATGGAGTCACCTGACAGGAAATAGAAAAGATTAATAACTGGTTCCACACGCTCAGCTCCAAAGGTAGGATCTGTTCTGAAATACTTTTTTTTTATTAATAGAAGATTATCAACATGCTTTAATGTTTGGGAAATTATTTCATTGATTTTGACAGTGAACTTTTATGTTCCTTAAGGTCCAATTTACCCATCCATAATATTAGGTCAATGGCTTTTAGTGAGGTGCTAAATTCGAAAGACTAATTAGGTATTTTCAGGTTCATCTTGTCTCAGTCATTAGTGAAAATATGAAGGATCTGAGGACATTTACGTTCCCGGCGCTACTGGTTCAAATGAGCTTCAGGGAAATGATTTGTTCTGACTTCAGAATATCATGGCTCACCTCTAGCTTCTATGTAGTTACTTCAAATTTTACCCTAAAACTTTTCCAGTCAGCAAGCAAAGAATCGTAATTTGAACTTTAACAAGGTCCCTAAATAAAAGCAAGCAAGCAAAAAAAAAAAGTCTATTATTGATTCTGAATTTTCAGTGAAAAAACCCCACCCTGCCTCAGTGATAAAGTAATCAAATCAACTCACTGCAGCTTCTCTAAAACCAATCAGCTTATGACTTACATTGCATCCGTTTAAGCATTTAACTCTTAATGTTTGGTTGGCCTCTGAATGGGGGTAAGATTAAATAGTAAGTGTCTCTATCTTCTAAACTCACCATGAATAAACTCCTTATTGTTCTTACACAAAAATGCAGATATATAAAAGGTCTTGTTTCTGGCTTTCATGCATATTTCAGTACTTCAGTGCTGTGTATTGAATGATTGATTGATTGATTGATTGATTGATTGATTCACTGATTGATAGACTTTATTGTTCTCACAGTGGAGAAATTCAGTCAGTAGTCTCAATAGTCAAAAAGAAGGTGTCAAAAAGAGCAAAAGGTGCATGAGGTATATACAGTATATACAGCACGTCCATATATATATATATATACATACAGTACTACCGTTCAAATGTTTGGGTCACATTGAAATGTCCTTATTTTTGAAGGAAAAGCACTGTACTTTTCAGTGAAGATAACTTTAAACTAGTCTTAACTTTAAAGAAATACACTCTATACACCAAAACCAGACATTTGCAGCTAGAATAGTCATTTACCACATTAGCAATGTATAGAGTGTATTTCTTTAAAGTTAAGACTAGTTTAAAATTATCTTAATTGAAAAGTACAGTGCTTTTCCTTTAAAAATTAGGACATTTTAATGTGACCCCCAAACTTTCCTCCTCAGATCTCATAACCCCAATGTTAAAGGGCTCTGCCCTTTTATATATAAACATGTAAGAGTTTTCCCATTATTTTTTGTATAATCAAAGACGTAGATTAATAAATAAGAACCCTAAGTAATTTTCCTTGAACTTAAAAACCTGGCACCAGTGTTTGTGTATCTGATAGATTCAATAAAATACGATAATATTTGTACTGTGGATAAAACGTGGATCTTTAGATCTACTTTGAACCGTTGCATACCTGCTGTTCCACTATAAGCTCCTAAATAGACTTTGTATCGTGTTCTCGGCTCTGCAATTGTGAACTTGTCATACTGCGCGTAGGCCGATTCCTCATTATCTCTCAAGTCCACTCTCAGCTCGTAATGTCCTAAAGATGTGATTTTATGGAGGCTTGAGAGACCTATAGGACAAAGTTGAAGAGTGAGCATTACAAGGGGTACAGAGGAGGGAGAGAGAGTGAATGATGCCAGAAGAGGACTCCTCTTACCCAGCCAGAACTCATCATTCATGTTCCCAAAGCCAGCTGTGTAATTCTTCCAGTTCCTGAAGAATTCCAGCTTTCCGTTCTGGCGCCTGAGGAAAACCTGAGGAGGACTGGCTTCCATGAGTGTCAAAACAACAACTAAGGTCTCTGTGGCTCTGTCTGCAGTAAATCATCAGAAAAAAAACAGGTGCTGCATAGCAGCTAGTCTGTTCTGTGTGATCTGTGATGTGAAACTGTTTCCTCACCATCCATCCTCCACCATCTGTGGTCATGTCGCAGTAAACCTGAATGGGCTGGCTCTCCTCTCCTCCTATATAGATGGTGTACAGACCAGAGGTGGTCTCCCCGTTCAGAAGAATCTGAGCACAGTCCCAGGGACGAGCGTACAACTGTCCAACTGGAAAAAAAAACACATTAAATTGACTTCAAGCACGCAAGTGCTTCCTCTTCATTGTTGTTATCCATCATACCATATCCTACTATAACGGGAATGACTTTATGAAAAATGAAAGCAGGATTTAAAAAACCAACTAAAGTTGTTCCATATGAGCTGTTTGGGGCGGAGGAATAAATAGACACGGCTAAGCTGTTTTTGATGGAATTAGCATTAGAGACGCATCTGGTATGTTGTGTAACCAGTCAGAGACTTGAAAAAAATCCCATTAAGAGGGAAATTTCAGTGCGGGATACAAATATAGAGAGTTGAGTTTTTTTTAAATGGGATTTTACCCTTGTTGGTGGAAAAGGTTGTGGTTACATAGCGACTCCTCTGAGCTCCGGAGATGGCCTGGAGGCGAACATCATACTTCGTAGAGCCAGTTAGCTGAGACATGCTGTAAGAAGACGCTGTCGGGCTTAGCATCACCTCCTGCAGCCAACAAATAATAAAAACAGGACACAAATTATTAGCTCCAGTTGAGGTCAAATGTGTTCAGATTTGGAGTTTCCTGGATGTTCATTTGATCCTGAAGCCACTGAGGTCACTTTAACACTATTTTTGGGAAGGTAGACATACTAGCCTTGTTTGATTTCACTTATTTTCATTGTTGTTATTTTCCAAAATTGATTAAACCTTCTAAATTATCCACAACAAGGGTGTAAAGGTTTTACATTCACATAAAGTACATGGCCTTAAACCACACAGATAAAACATTCAACTTCCTCTTGTTTGTTCAGTTTATTTTCCCTTTATTTTGTTAATTGATGAAAATATACTAGTGGTTTAGTTTTTTCTGTCGGACAGAGGGGATTAACCATCCCTACCATATAAAAATAATTTGCGACTTTTTATAAATTAAAGAGTACCATAAAGAAACTGAGAGCAAGTGTATACTATTATTATAACCCAATAGAGACATGAACGTCTTTGGAGGTTTCTCATGGCTTTTAAAGACACAAGCTGGAGCAAATTAAAGACCAAATTTACTCTAAGTTTTTTCACTATCTGCTGATTGAAAATATGAGATATTCATTAATAAAAACACCAAAATATTTGAACCGGTAGCCAAGCTTTTGTTAGCCTGAAATATCGACTCTGAACAGTATTTGTTCCGATACAAACAAATTTAAATGCACAGAGTCAATGTTGACTAGCTTTGAGGACATTTTGTAGTTTACTCAGCACCTCTTCCTGTGTGCCGTCAGTATTGGGGACATTTCAATCAATATCATTAATGTAGATGATAACAAGAAGGAGTTCAAGGTGCAATTTAGAGGAAAACCCTTCAAAGAGTTTACACAGCACAGATATGAACCCATCTGCTGGTATGCTGCCCTTTTGGCATAAAGTTTGGAAACCACTAGAATAGCATGTTTTTATCCTTGTCAAAGGCCTTTTAAGGCAATTTTTATGAAACAGTGTTATTTTTTCTATAGCTCATCAAAAAAATAATCAGTAACCTTCATCACTGTGGTTGTGCTGATTTTTTTTAAAACCTGATTATGAAGAGTAAATATTGCATGAGGTAACGTATACTTTCAATTGCTTTTGATGCATTAGTTATTGTTTTACACTTCTCAGGGGAAACCTATTCTTACCACAGTTAAATTGGAAGCAAAGATGTTTTGTTTTTACTTTTTAAGGTGTTTGGGTCGCATCATGGATCACATAACTTCCTCATCCACCCAAATGAAGTAACCTATCCAATGAAGGACTCTGCTTGGTTTAAACTGCTGTAAGGAACACTAGTGGGAAACACCCTTAGTCTTGCTTGGTGATATGCTGCTCCGCCTTGGTGGAAAAAAGTATTGCTCATCAAACTACTGATGGATCACTGGGAAAACTGACTTATGCCGGATTTGACACTATTTATTAGTCATTCTTTATACTGTTTTTTGAGGAAAATCCTGAGTGAGTCAAGTCTCTGGACAGGAGGCAACCCCAGACATGAATGATCTGAGGAGGCTTCTCTCCTAAGATGACATAGGATTTAAGGTGGTTCTCATTTCTCTTTATAAGGGCATTCCTTTGTCTTTAATGTTCAAAATAAACAAATTTTCTACACTGAAAATTTAATGACAAATATAAATTAATGACAAAAATAAAATGTTCTTAATTGAAAATCATTAATTCAGTAAAAAAAAAAAAAAAATTGGATCCTTTTTGTGTGTTTTGCGTCGCATAAATGTATTTCCAAAAAGCACAATGGAAGAACTTTTTTCACGTCACACATGATTAACCGGATGTTAGTACTGGCGACGACAGGAGAAGAAAATAGAAGGTAGCAGGAGGATGAAGGCCTGGGATGTGTTAAGATGCATGAGAAAACATTTCCACATGTGATTTAATTGCAACTCTTTCTAAATGAAAACACAGAAACTGCAAATGTATGGGGTTTTTTTTCTCAGTTCAGCGCACATTTTTAACTGTCCTTAGAATCCTTAGAAAGAAGTAACTTCTCTGTCGCCCTGACTTACACATGCCAAGCCTCCAAAAATATCCTCCCTACTAAACCACTCACATCCGCCCGCTGCCATGTCTGACCAAGCTCTGCACTGGGGTTAACTCAACACTTTGAATCCATTGGAGTTTATCTGGTGCCCTGAAGCTTTTTTCAAAACGACTGAAAGTCCTAAAAGTTTGAACATACAGTCCCTTTGAGTGCAGTCTTAGTTCCAGAGGTATCCTAACATTTAAAACTTTCCGGATGTACATACTATAATTGCTTGGAGAAAAACACGTTTGCCCTAAAGAAGAATTATTTCCATTACTAATCACTACTAGATGAACCATTTTCCCCTTCAGATGAACATATGTTTACTAAAATCATCTTAATACTGATTGGTCTTAAACAGTGCAAGTCAGTATTTGAATGGTTAGATTGTTTTCTGTGATTTAAATCAATGTTGCAGTTAATTACATCCATATTTTTGTATTAATTACCAGAATAAAAAGAAGTTGTAAAGTAAAGTAAAGTTGTAGAAACCTTTTGTTATGACTTTATATGCAAAGCCATCCCTGAGAGTGTAAGGAAGTAGCTAGTTTGGGTTTGCAAAGTATACAATTTTTTTGTGGTCAATGCTAAAAGTGAACATTACTCTGATTACACCACCAGGAGAGGAGAAGCTTAGCATATAGCCAGTGACTGCAGCAGTAGGCGGTTTCCATGTCAGAGTGGCGGTGTCAGTTTGAACATTATTAGCCATCAAGTCACGAGGAGGATCCAAATCTAGACACAGAGAAATTAGAATTTGGATTTAATATTCTACAAACCACTGTGTAACAAAAGGTTGTATATTTCTTGCACAGCGTTGTCTGACCTACCGGTGGTAAATGCAGTCAGAGTGGACTCACTCCTCTGGGCTTCTTTCACACCATAAACGGCAGCGGTGTAATGAGATCCTGGAACCAAGGTGTTTATCTGGAATTCCACTATGTTCCCAGAAACATGCTCCACCACTGGGGACACTGGGGGGAAAAAAACAAAATGATACGATCATATACAAGCAATCAGACTGACATTCCACTCAGGAAGGTTTTCAGATGGTTTCTTAACGGGAAACAAACCTGTATCAGTACTGTAGGTGATGACGTAGCCGTCGACTGTGGCCACGGATGGCTGCCATGACAGCAAAGCTGACGTATCTGTGACATTTACTGCAGTCACACCCCGGGGGCTGTCCAGAGCTGAAGGATTAAATAGGAAAATAGTTTGTCTGACGTCTTAACACAGATGGGAAGTTTTGTAGGAAAACAGCTGAAATCGAACCTGTGGTTACAGTGCCGGTACTGGGCTCGCTTTCCTCCAGACCCTTCAGAGAACTCACAGTCACTTGGTAGGTCTTTCCAGGAAACATATTGATCAGAAGCATCTCAGACATGCTGCCATCTGCGTTCAAAATCAATGGGCTTCCTGTGAAAAATAGAGAGAACAAACAAAGTCAGAACAGAGGAAACAACACGATCTGAACACCAATAATCACCTCTACTATTGCCTTTAAGTTAAGAGTTCATGATCAAAGATTGAAGAACATGGTAGCTCATCTGCAGGAGGAGAACTACTATCCTTACATGAAAGTATTACAGTTTGTCTGTGGTTTACTACAAATAGCAGTTATGCTGATAATCCAGGTGATTATTGGTAAATAAAACACAAAAATGTAAATAGAAGTAACAGGTTGTGTAAAAAAGTCAAAAGCGAATCAAAGGGAGACATGAGGAACACAAACTAACGATGATGAAAATTATGCACCACAATATCGATTAATTAATTTTAACCAATTTCAAAACTAGGAGAGCGAGTAGCTGCAGTTATTATTTTAAACTACAGTATATCTTAAGTATCTATATAATAAAATGATATATAATATTTAAAGAATGAAAAAATACAAATTGAAAAATATGTAAACTTGTCAAATACGAAAAAAACATTACAATAATTTTTATTTTTGATTAATCATTATAACTTAATTCAGTTCATTTATATAGCAACAATTCACAACACGTGTCATCTCGAGGCACTTTAAAGTGACAATTCAACCGATCATACAGTCAGATTGGTTCAAAGTTTTCAATCAAAGGAAAACTAGAAGATTGCATTGACTAATTGACTCTTCAGCAATCTCTCACACAGAGCATGCAACAGTGGAGAGGAAAAACTTCTGCTGAGGTCGATTGGGGTTCAAGCAGACAGAAGCAGAGATACGTGTTTGATTGATTGAATCGTTTCTTATAAAGTGATCAAATTTTGGCGGCGCATTTATATAAACATACATCGAACTCCCGTAATCAATTACTTAAATTAGCAGAGCACTGTAGTATTTCAACAACCCTGATTTAGTTCTTACCCCCTTCAAAGGGCACATAGGTGATCCTGTAACTATCCACCTGAGAGCGTGGATTGGACCAGTGAACCACAGCTGAAGAGTCCGTCACCTCAGTGAAATGCAGTCCTTTCGGAGCACTCAGACCTAGCAGAGCATAAAAGCAAAGGCACCGATGTGAAAAAAAAGTGAAACGTTATTACAAATAGAACAGAGAGAACCCATTTGACCTATGTCCTTTTATTATTTTTGACCTTAAAAGGAGGATGTAACATGATTAGTGTTATTTTTTAATTATTGCACTAAACGCACACTTGGGGAAAGAAAGGATAGTTAGTTTGAAAATGTAAAACCCATTGCAGCAGTTTTCATATACCTGTCTGAGCAACTGCAGTTATAGGCTGGGAACGCTGGTCCAATGTGAGGCCGTAAAGCTCGATTTCATATTCAGTGCCACTCATAAGGCCAGTGATGACCTTTGTCCTCTCACTGCCACGCGCTTTGTACTCCCGCGGATGAGCTAATCTTTTACTGTCTCTTATTTTGATCACAAATCTGTCAAACTGGTCCTCGTCCGCCGCCCACGAAAGCCGGAAACTATGACTTGTGATGTCCGAGATGAAGAGATGCTCCACCTCCGGCTCTGCCTCTGGTTAGACAAGGAAACAATAACGAAGTAGTGTGTTTTTTAGCAACAGTGTTTATTGTGGAAGAAGTCAGATATGAGAAAGAAAGATGGCTATATTTCCAGCCAGTATACGTTAGTGCCAATAGATCTAAAGACGGCTCATGAAGAACAAATAAGAAAGAGAAGACAAGAGGATTTTTGTAGGTTTTTATTAATGTCAAGGTGTTGAGATGAGTTCTCCATGCACCTTCAAGCCCTGACCAGATGCATTCAGTGCACATCAAAGGAAATAAGACAAATAATTTATCTTGAAGAGGAAATCAAAAGACATTTCATGCTCAGTGTCTGTCGATTTATCAGTGTTTTCCTGCTTAAAGAATAGGTTTTAACTTCTGAAAAAAATCTAAAAAGCTTAAACAGAGGTCAAAGGCAACACAGTGCAAAGGTGAATGTTCACCAAAAGATGTCCATGATCTCTACAATGCGAAGGAAAACACATGACAAAATATGAAACCAAACAGAAATGCTTGTTCATATTTTGAAGGAAGAAGCAGAGGAAGAACTGCGTCTCTTCCTTTGCTTTGCTGCACCTGCTCAACAAGAGAACACTTAGAATAAAGAAAAGGTCAAATTGCTCTAGAGAAATAGTTGCACTATAAGGGCGGAAATTAAAAGACTGAAGGTTGTGATCCAATATCAAAGCATTCAAGATTAAAATCCAAAGACATGGGAAACAAGTGACATACATTCAAATTTCCCACTAATGCATTGTAACCAGGCTGCACATTAAATTCCAAATTGAACTAGAAGCACCAAATGTTTGAGACAGCAGTAATAATAAATCCCACAAATTTAACAAAAAGTGTCAAACAAAGGACTAAATAATTTAGATCAGTCTCAGAGTATGTTTAGATGAGGTTAATGCAGTGATTCCAGTAAGCTGCTGGGAACGTTGCTCCATGTGGTGAAAATAGCTCCAGGAAGGACATCAGTGGTCTGGAACTAATCACTGTCCCATTGAAGGAAAAGGTTCTTAAATTATAATGGGATTTCCTTCATTTTACAAAGAACATTTCTAGTTATGGTTTGTCCTGGTAGCAACAGTTAGCAACAGTTGAAGCAAACAGGTCTAGAATGCAGTTTTTGCATCTTAGGTCTTCCCTTTTAATGTCCACACCTGGATTCTGATGCAGGAAGGTCTGTGGTTTTTAAAGCTAATGTTGTTCGTTAAGCCATACTTAATGGTGGCTTTGGAGGTATTGCTTTATCATGTAACTGATGAGTTGTAGGTTCAAGCTGTTGCTCTGTCCATCACAGTGGTTGTATCTTTGGACAAGACACTTTACAAATCTCTCCATCTGGTGGTGGTGGTCAGAGGGCCAGGTGGTGCTGATTGGATTGCAGCTTTGATTCTGTTGGTATGTCCCAGGACAGCTGTGGCTACATTGTAGTTTACTTCCATTACCGTGTAGTAGGTATGGAGCAGCAATTTGGAGTCCTTGGAATTGATAAAGCACTACACCCGTCAGGCAACTTCCCCTTTAAAGCCCTCTCTTACAACTCTCTCTTTCATCTGGTAGTTATGCTACAGTGAGTTTCAGTAAGAGTCTTAATCTTAATTATTCCTACTCTTTAATCTACCAGATCTTTTAGATCAGTGCATTGTAAACTATTTCAGGGTCTTACACTTGACCTGTTTGTCCCAGCCTCTTCAAGGTCGGTGATTGTGTTACTGTTTACAATGTCTGCGGGCCGCGGCGAAGGACCATTTCTAGATGCTTATCTGCAGCCAGGTCTGGAGACAGAAAACCTTTATTTCTTTGCCATAAGGGGGTATTTAAAAGAAAACCAATCAGCTTTAGTAAGCTGAAGAACAGCCTGTTTAAATGAGTTTAAATACACTGCTGGTTAATTTAATTTTAGTTGCGTAAATTTGATTCAAAACATTTTCATTCACATAGCGGGTGGCTAGCTCAAGTTGTAAGTCACCCATCCTGCAAAAAGGAAGCCTGGGTTTGTATCCCAGTTGGGGGGATCCTTAAGCAAGATCCTTCAAGCTAATGCCTGCTTTGGGGAGTTGTGGCCTAGTGGTTACGGACGGTATTGCGCTTGAAACCTTGAGGTTCTGAGTTCAAGTTCCGCTCCCACTCTCTGAGCAAGACCCTTAACCCCCACACTGTTCCCTGGGTGCTGCCCAATGGCAGCCTACTGCTCCCCAAGGGGATGGGTTAAATGCAGAGAGTTCATTTTGTTGCTCTGGACTTGTGACAGTGAAATGACAATAAAAAAAAGGCTGGAAAAAATTAACTCTTTTGCTCATTGTTTTTGTTGTTAAAGCTCCTCTTGCAACCTGGTTATAATCCACCAACTTGAAATGTGAACACATAAATCATTCCCCACCCCTAGGATTTTAATCAGGATTGTATGTATTTAGACCCATGCATCATGTTATAACAGTCAAACTAACTATATCTTAACAGCTTTCCATTAATACATACAACAGCTGCAAAATTAGAAGTAAGAAGAGTGTTTAGTAAAACCAGGGGCCTCTCAGTGCACTGTAAGGGGTACCTGTCACTGCCACTGTAGTCAAGGGCCGAGAAAGAAGACCCGACTCAGACACCCCAGTTAGCTTGACCTCATAGCCAATGCCGGTGATGAGGCCCCAAATGTCCAGGTGACTCTGGTCTCCTGGTACGGTGAATTCCTGAGGCTCCAACAGCCAGCCTGAGTCTGTCACCACAATGTGAAAGTGGCTAAAACCACCACCAGAGGGGGATATGTCCTCCTGATGGAGTGGGTGCTGCTTCACTTCCCAGGACACTCTGAAACCGTAGGGGGTTACGTTGGATATGGTCAAGTTTTCCACTTTAGGTAAAGGAGCTGGGAAGGAAAGGGATTGGTTGGAGGGGATACAAAATTTTATTAAGGGGGTATGATGTATGCAGTGGTCGCAAAAGCAAAAATACAGGCTGTTCTTCCAAGTGTTCCAAGAAATATTAAAAGTTTAAAATCTCCAAAATCTATCGGTCAGTTATACGCTAAAAGCAAATGGGACATACATCAATACGCTTCATTTTAAAGCCTATAAATAATTTACATTGAGACAAATAACTAGGAACAAACAGATAACAGAAAAAAGTAATCTTCCTAGAAGCTTCAATTGATGGACCAATACAACTGATATAGTTACAACTGATCATTGTTCAGTTGTAACTATATGCGTTGATGACTGTCCTAGGTTGCTTAGTTTGGTATTTTTCTGTTACAGTTTTTAAATGTCTACAGCAAAAACTATGAACATCTTAGTTTCTATACTTTTTTTCCATTTAAAGGAAAAACAGAAAACATTACTAGTCACTCCAAAGCTGTGCAAGCCTGCATGATTACAGTGAGTAACAACTGAACAGAAGAAACAATAAGCCGGGTATATAATTTAAATTGAATACTGCTTATGCATGAGCATTTGGTTCTCAGTGTCTTAGAATTCAAATTAACTTCAGAAAAATATATAGAGTAAGTCATATAAGTAAATTACGCATTACCTGTGAGAGCATGGACGTACACAGAGGGAGTGCGACGCCCATGAGAAATACCGTACAGTTCGATATCATAACCTGTGTCATCCATCAGGTTAGGGATTGTAAAGTTACGGGCTTCACCAGGTAGTCTGAACTCCAGCGTATCAGATTGCTGCTCGGAGTCACTGACCTGGAGGACAAAGCCATCAAAGGAGCCCGACAATGTATTCCAATGCAAGCTGAGGTAATGGGGGTTAGCAGAGGAAGCAAATATCGGCCCCAACAGCGGCACTTCCTCTGAACAAGAAGAAGAATGTGGCCTTTTGAGTTACTTGATCCTGTGCACACATAATGTCTGATTTATGGAGTGTTATAGGGATACCTGTTGTAGCTACAGCCAGGAGTGGCTGTGTGCTTTGTCTGCCACCTTCACTGGCGTAAAGCTTTATGTTGTAGCTTGTGTTTGCTCTGAGCCCGGCCATTACAGTAGAGCGAGCATCTCCTGGCAAAGTGCGCCCCATCGCCTGCGAGGGCAAAGCAGACTCTCTGACTTCGACTATAAATGTATCAAATTCCTTCTCTCCTGTTCGCCATGACAGAGAGAATCTGTCTGAGGTAATGTTAGAAACAACTAGCTTGGACAAATCAGGCTCCTCAGCTATAAGGGAGAAAAAAAATACATTGAAATAAGTCAAAAGACTGTTCTTGAGTCTACTTAAAATTTCATGTCTAAGAAAACCAATTGATTACTTAAGCTGCTAGTATATTTATTTAAATAGAACACAAAGAAGTTTTGGAAAATAGTTTCTCAGTTTGTCACTATTGTCAATACAATCAAGTAAAAACTAAGCACACACAATAATTAAGTCTCTTGTTAAACCACCTGTACTACTAAGAAATTAAAGAAGCTGATTTTAAATGGAGGACTTAGAGGTTTTAAAGACATTGCTTTGCTGTAGCTTCAGTTCACTGTGAATTGCTGGTATTCTAAAATGCATACTGTAGGACTCTTCGTATCCCTCATGTTTCAATCTGTTTGAGGTCTGACTATTAACAAAACCATTGAAAAATATTGATATCCTTTCTCAACTATCGCTTTGAAGACCTACTTGAGACCTTTGGATGATTGTTTGGTTGACAGTCTAACCCAGCCTATATTTGCCAGACAACCAGTCTCACATTAAACTGAAAAAAATGTATACATAAGAGTTTATGATTCCACTAAATATCTGCAGGTTTTCCAAGCCTTTTGTTGGCAAAATAAGTCATTTTCATGACTACTTTACCATCATGGTTGACAGTTAATACGAGGTAAACATTCCTACCTTAGACAAATCAATCTACAATTTATTGCAGAATACTTGCTATGTACTGAGATATTATTTCCTTGACGATTTTAGAGAGAAGAGTCTCTCTCTTGGTAATCCTTCATACAAGACAATTCTATTTTCTTTTTTGTTTCTCTCTCTCTCTCTCTTCATTTTGGCTGAGGCCTGTTAAGAAGTAGGCAAAACAAGTCTCTGTTTTATGCAGATGACCTGGTTCCTCAAGTTCGAAGTGGCAGGGATGAAGATCCACCCTAGCCTGGCCAGTCAGATTAACCTACACATGGCGGTAGGCAGTCCGGTTAGGCTCAATGCTCTCTGGTCCAAATAGATTGGACCAATCACAGTGGCGGAGCTGGGCCCATATTTCAACAGCACTTTTCGGGAACCTTAATGCTACATTCACACCTAACGCGATGGAGCAGCAAAGAAGCGTTTGATGCTTGTACACATTAAGGTCAGACGTGTCTCTTGAGCATCTTTGATGCTCCTGAAGCACATCCAGTAAAGTGTGTGCATATGCATCTCATTCTTGTGCTGCTCCTGTTTTTAGAGTGCCATGATCTTGGCACAGATATCTGTCTGATTACTCACTTCAATCACCTGCTTATCTCCACCCAGTTCTCATTACCGCTCATCTGATCCACCTGTTTCAGTCTCTATTTAACCAGCCTTCAACCAGTCATCAGGGCCAGATTAATTCGAGCCTGTGGTGAGAAGTTCTCTAGTGTTTGAAGTGCTTCTTATTGTCTGATCCTGACCCGTTCTACCTCTGGACCTCTGAGCCTGCTTGTCCCTGTTCTGATCTGTTTTCCTGACCTGTCTTTGGACTCCTGCCGGATCTCTGCCTGGCTTAGTTCAACCAAACCTTTAACTGTTTCCTGACTTCGTTCTGGATTTCCCCTTGGCACCTCTTTGGACTTCTGATCTCCTGGCTCTGACAATCGAGCATGTCATCAACACCGGCTTTGGCTTCATCCTCTGGATTATCCTGCTTCCTTTGTCTGCTCAGATTTGATCTCCTACCTGTCGTCTAACCTCCAAGACATCTGCTTCTGGAACTGTCTGGGCGGTGCCTGCCGCTTTGTGTTGACAGACGACCGGTTGGAATCAACCTCATCATCTGGGCTCGGACTGAACTATAAGACCAAAGGTTCCTGCCTTAGATACCGACGCTGTTCACTGCATTTTGTTGAGAATTCTAACTGTATGGCCACCTCGAATACTGGGCCCTATTGTTCTGAGCCTGACAGACAGTGGCTTTGCGATATTTGTTGTCATAAGTGGGTAAAAATAAAAAAATAAAAATGAGTCTAAATGTTTTTAAGTAAGAAAGTGCACCTAGAATATTCATCTTATCAGGGAATTCATCAAGATTATGATCCTGCCGTAAAATACTTAAAATATTAATCTGTTGTCAGAGCCGCACAGACCCCGAAATACCAGCATTGCACACTCCTTTCCAGACTAAAGTGCCATGTAAATGGCGACAATTAGTTTTGCTGGCTAGGCTAGATCAGGTCTTCTATGTTCATGGAGTATTAAAAAAAGGGTTGTGCTTCAGGTCAGGGGAAAGTTCCAACCCTAAGTGGAGGATTTCAACTATTCCTGTTCAAGAGTGAGGTGAGAATGGAATGGGAATTTGTCAAACGTCTGCTGCCTTTACATGGGTGCTAAACCAGTGTGTAGTGGTAAAGAGAACTAAATCAAGAGCCAAAGCTATTTACTGGTTTGTCTACATTTCTACCCTCTCCTATGGTCAAGAAATCCAGGTCTTAATGAAGGAATGAGATCCTGGATACAATGGTCAGGTAGTTCCTAAGAAATAGAAGAGCAACTTGGCCAACAGAGAGAGGCTCAGAATATACCCATATTCCCCCTCATGCCAAGACAAGACTAAGGAGACTCGGACATCGGTTTCAGAAATCTCTCTTTAGAGGTGTTCTAGCACCATGCCCTAAATTAAGGAGGTCCAGGAAAACGGCTATGGATGAGACGTTATTAGATAAATTGGAAGACAACGAGACCGAGTACATAAAGTTAGAGATGGGGCCATTTGATTTTAATAATTGTTCCAAGGACTGCATGATTTTATCTTGGGGTGAATTTGGTGGGAATTCCAGTTATGGGAAATTTGACAACTCCTTAACATACTCCTTCACATTTAAATAATATTTTTTTAGGTAAATATTTTTTAATGGTCAAATCATGGACAGCAAATTGGTTAGATTTTAACATTACAACCCCTCCCAGATTGCTGGACGGTAACAATGCCTTTTTTGTAAAGACCATTGCTGGTCTCTTTATTAACCTTAAGTTATTACAGTTTGCTAATGCCGAAGAATACTAAACTACCTACATATTTTACTTACAAAAAGGTGATCATATTTAACGTGTTGATGACACAATAATACAATTTTCTAGTATTTTTTGTAGATCAAGACATGAATACCGATGATCCATGTAATAATTTCAAGAGCGCTCGCTTAAAATAGTTTTTATTTTAAAACCTCTGCCATTAAGAGGACTCTGGTGCTGCTTATTGACTGAGGGAAAAACCAGGACTGATGTAAACAGAAGAATGACTGGAACAGAGGTTTTGTTATGGACAGCTTCTGAGGTTGTCATGGATTACTACAGATACTGCTATGCCTTTGCGTTTGGTTGCAGCTTTTTGCTTAAAACCCCATAAAGATGGTATCAGTGTATTTAAGTTTCTCAAGGATCCTGAGTTGCTTTCAAGGTGGATGAAGCAGGTCAGACGAGATCGGGAGAAGTTTGAGCACTCCACATTATTTCTTCTGTGCTTGGAACACTTTGAGAGGGACATGTTTTTATTTCGTTACCTCACTGAAGAATTACTTAGTTGTTCAGTGAAAAACTACCAAGAGTAGCTGCCATTAGAAAGACAATTAGCCGTTGTTGGTTCTGACCTGTATGTCTACCTGTATGTTTGTCTACCTGTCCGCTCTCCAACGAGTTCCCTCTTCTCTAGATAACCCCACACAGACTGGATTCAAGGGTTGACAAGAGCCCCCTTAAACGTGAGTTCCTCTTTTGCAAGGTTCAAACCGCAGTCTCATTTCCTATGGTCCCTGAACTGATCTCTGTGATCTTCCCTTCTGACTTTCCAGTTCCGGTTCACCAGTTCACTGAGTCTCAGATCCAACCCCTGTTCTCATTACCACAAATAAACCTATTCAAACTTTTCTCCGTGTTCTCTGAGTGGTTTCTCTGCATGTGGGTCAGATTTGTTAATCCGATCATGACAATAACTGAATGTTTACCAACTGTCCCCACCTAAGGAAAGCAAGGTGTACTTAGTTTTTACATGGCTGTTTTGACAGTCATGGAAACTTTGTTTTCCTTAAGATTTATATGATTTTGATGCTCAAGCAACAAAAAAAACATCATAATTTGCTAACTTTCTGTAACATTTAAAGGTACATTAAGTAAAAATACCTGTTGATGCAACAGTACTGACAGCTCCTGTCCGAGATCCCTTGTACGTCCCATAGAGGTAGGCTATGTAATCAGTGCTGGGCCTGAGCCCTGTGACGTCTTTGGACGTTACATTACGAGATATATTATACTCCATTAGCTCCATGAGCCAGTCTGAGTCAATTATCTCCAGGACAAAACCATCAAACAGCTTTTCAGTGTTGTTCCAGTGGATCGTAAAGCTTTCAGGTGTAAAGTTTGAGGCAAACAGTTTGCCAACAACTGGTTGAATAACTAAAGAAAGAAACCACAGTTAGGAATGTGTCAGTCATTCTGTAAAATGAAAATGTGAGCCTCTCATCTGCTGAGGTGTTATTTGCAAGTGAGTTATTGTTAAAAGAAAAAAAGGTGAATAGAACACTAAAATCAACCATAAAAAAACCCAGTCATGTGAACAGCTAAATAAAAGCTTCAACACATGCATATATCTATTCAGATGCTAAAATCCTGCATTAGCAGTTAAACTCCAACATAAATTACACATATTTGTTGCTTTTAAAAAGGATTAATACTTACAAGCGTCAATTAATATTATTGCTTCCAATGCTGAAAACGTTTGTCCAAAGTTTAAATCAATTAGTTTGTTCATAACACTTTAAATATAGTTAAAATGGAAGAGTTCATGCCTAAGGAAAACTACCTGATCATGCACTACATCAGTTATGTTGTGGAAAAAATGTTGCAACATGCAGAACCTATGATTTAGCTTTAACACATATCTATATTTTACATGCAGTAATGCACATAGATAATTTAGTGCAAACATGCACCTGATGTAAAACAAGGTGGCAGTATTTTAACACTTCTTTAGCTTTTTACCTTGATAACAGAAAGAAGAATTAATCATTTGCCACCTAGTGGTTCAAAAGGAAATTAGGATATTTACATTGATGTTCTGGAAAGGTAACTATTTCACTTTCACTTCCACAAACTCATAGAGTCCGGTTGAGACAAGTACTCACAAATGCTGTGAGCGGCAGAGCATATGGGCAAATGATCGCTCAAGGTTAATCAATGACATACTGAATGAAGGCTGATGGATGGAATGAAATGGTCATGGTGTCAGGGTAAAATGAGCAGGGGTGGGTGAGTTACTGGTTTTGCTTTTGCAATCACTGCAGCACATCAGCGACAGACCTGACCACAATGCAAGGATGAAAGGGAAATAGGCTTCATGCACTTGGGTAACTGTAGTGGGAGTAAGGACAAATGTTTTCTCTGTTCGATGATTCGGTTTGAATGGCCTTTCCTTCTCTTAATGAAACAGAGACAGTGACTTAAAGGTGAAACAGGTAATGCCAGTTAGGATGCAGCAGTTCAATGCACTGAGGCCTTGGTGCCGGACAGTTATACCAAAACATTGACCAGGTTATTGCGATTGATTTGTTTCATGCAGCCAAGGATTCACTCCTCAGTGTGAGTTGGACATAGAAGTTACACATTTTTAACGCTCGACAAATGCTGACTATGGTAGGAAGAATTATTGAAAAATAAACTGCAACGCAGCAAGTCGCAGGTACCTGTTGTTGCTTCACTGTACAGGGGTTCTAGGAATGAACCCTGATGTGTCCCATACAAGCCCACCATGTAGCTGGTATTAGGATTTAATCCGCTGATGAGCAGGCTTGTAGCATCCCCAGATAGAGTGAGGTTTTGTGCCTCTGCAAGATCGTCCATGTTTGTTACCTCAATGACAAAGCTGTTAAAGTCCTCCCCTGTAGGGTTCCAGGATGCTACGAAGCTGTCCCATGTAATGTCAGAAATGATGAGGTTTCCTAGCGTCGGCTCCAAACCCGCTGGTAGATAGACAAATCAAACTGGGATCAGTTAGGTTGAAAGAAAGATTGTTCTTAGGTAGGCAGCTACAGTCATGTGAAAGAAAATTAGGACCAACCATTACATAAAGAACTTTTCCACTAGAAATGTTCACATAATCGTGTCTAACATTGCGTTTGTTTAGAAAAGAATGTGATTCATTTAAAACTAAACAATGAAAATAAGCCCTGTTTTATGTATTAAGCAGCATATATAAACAAGAATAATATCTTAATAATTAAATTAGGACCTTTAGTGAGCTGTTCTTTGTAGCTAGCTAACAGTCTGACATTATTGCATGTCAGGTTGCATGTATACCTCGCCCAACAGCATCTCTATGAGATAAAAACCTGAGCTTTGATTTCGTCCGAGGGAATCTTTTCTTAACCATAATCTTTGGTAGGTTGACTGGTGTGTTAAATATTTATTTTAAAGGTTCCAACTCTATTTTAATTTCCCTATAGATGTTCTCAGATTTTCCTCCACTTTCTCCTTCCTCCCAAGATTTATAGTGGGGATACTTTGCTACAGGTCCCCTTGAACCATACTACCCCGAAATCCCCTGCCCTCCTTATCCCCTCATCTCCGCTCCAGACCGCCTGCGCAAATTAAAGCTGTATCCTTCGCGGCTCCTCCATCTTGCTGCGCTCCAACGTCCTTGGAGCTCGAGGAGAGCATGAGCGATAATATGTAGCCTAATTCATAGCAGCGAAATATGTTAATGAACGCTTAATTTAATATGACATAATTAAAACTCACTATCAGCATCAATCAGACATGTTTCTGCCCAAACATTTTATTTTCTTTGTGGGTCTTTGCAAAAGAGATAATTAGGAAAACACAACATTGTTTTTTTCTCTACTTCCAAACTCAGCATCTCTTCATACATGCCTGCGATAAGAAGTTTCTTTGAAGTTTTGAGATGCGCTCTTGGAAGTTGTTGTGGATTAAATGAAACTTTTAGGCCCTTAGTATGAAATAAATATTTCGATCAAGATGAGAAATTTGCTTCCTGGTATGTTGAAGAACCCATAGTTTGCATCCAATAATTTAATTAAACAGTCTTAGTGTTTGGGGAATATATAAGAAATATGCTCTTAATTATTTTTAACGATCTGTTGTTACCATATTTAACTTGGAAACTTCTTGACATTCTTTTTGTTGTTTGGTGCTATTTCAGTCGCAGATCTTGACCTGGCTGGCTTCGACGTACCGGAACGGAGCAAAAATAGCTTGGCTCTGTATTTTCATGGTTAAGGACGGAGAAGATGTACGTGGACGGTGACATGCCGATGAGTAGTGGTGGATGTGGAACAGTTCTCATTGATTAACGCGACTGTGCAAGTATTCCGTGCAACGTATGTGAGCGGGGCAGAGTGGAGCGGAGCATTGAGGATGCAGAATCAGGGGGTTACAGTTTTTCGTTTTTAAAAAGGGAAAAATTGATTGATTTGCCAATCGAAGTTCTTCAAAAGAAAAGAAAAACTGTTCATAATATAATAGGAAAAAAAATGTATTTCCATTTCTCTCACCAATGATAATCCTCCCTAATGCATCATTTAAAGAATGAGGGATGAATGTGGTTGTTGTATATTGTGTATTTTCAGCACCATAGTTGTGAAAAGAGCAACTACAATATAGAAACATATGAGAGGCAATTTCTTAATATGGTAGAATGATACATGCTACCACACATCATTACAGATTAATTAACACTTCTCTTTGAAAAAGAGCATCTGCATGATAGGAAAAGGCATGACATCTATTTGTGACTGTTTTTACAGTAAGAAAGCTGTTAGGTGAAGATCTGTCTCTAGTATTTTAATGTATGACATATTTTAACAAGCCTTCAAAAGATTCTCTCTCTCTATTACCAGTCACTGCCTTGACTCGTTCTTCTTGGCACAGTAACTGTAGACATCATTACAGGCCAATTGCAACTCACTTTTAAGAGTGCTAAATATAAATAGGAACTGCAAATTAAATCCACTTGACACATTGCTGGTGGTATTAATAGTACATACCTTCCATTGTTGTGCATCTTTTTAAGATCAGCATATAGTCTGCATAATAATGATGGTAAACAAACTACATTGATTGAACCTGCTGATCCTTGAGGTACAATCTGATGTGCCTGTATATTAAATCAACTTTGTTCATGCTTTCAAGTTTGCACAAGATTTTTCATACACTTAATCCTGTTGTAGATCAGAGCCTAACTGAGCAGGAATGCATGTTTAGGTCAAAATTTTATAGCTTCTGCACATGGTATTGTGATAAAAACACTAAAAATATTCAGTGTTTCAGCATCATAGACACAAAGAATTGAGTCAGATGCTTAGAGGAGCTTAAGACTTTTACCAAAATCATATATACCTAAGAAAATCAAGTCATTTTTTTTTTTATTATTATGTACCTTGTAACTATATTAAATACTGCTATTATTTAAATTATTAACATTTTGAAGGTATTGTTAAAAAAATACATTTAAGAAATAAATCTAATGAGTATACTGTAGATACTCATATCACTCATAAATTGAATACAAAATTTTGACATTCTAGATACTTCACCTAACTATTATAATTTATTATATCTTAACTCTAGATAAGACTAAAATTAGATTTGATGTTGATATTTTACTACCACAATAAAATTATTGGTCTATTTTAAGTAATGAGTTTGTTTTTTTTCCTGTTTTAGAGGATTTAAATCAATCATTAGAATGTTAAAACATACCTAATGCTTCTACTTTTAAAATTTTGTTTTGGATTGTTGTTCTAAGGCACTTTATGGCATTTCTGCAATACTTAGTTATGAATTTTATACTTCTTGCTCTGAATACTGGTCAGTATTTATTCAATATTAAAAAGAGGAAAGCATGTCAAAAAGAAAGATGAACCATCTGTGGAAGGAAAGCAACACATCATGCAGTATGATCTTCTTACATAACAAAAAATAAATAATAGGATGAAGATGATGGGTGGGAATGATGCTGATGTCAAGAGATCTGTTGTAGTGTACCTGTTGTAGTAAAAACTCTGAGAGGCAAAGATGGCGTCCCTTCCATCAGCCCATGAAGTGTTATTTCATAGAGAGTAGAGGGCAACAAACCCTCTATTTTGGCCTTCCTCAAACCTCCGGGTATTGTGGTCACACGAGGCTGCGCTGCAGCAGCTGACGGAGCAACAAGCTCCACCAAAAAGCTGTCAAACGCTTCATCAGGGGCTGACCACACCAGGCTCATGCTTGTCGCGGTAACATTTACCGGGGTAAGGTTGCTTAGAAGTTCCATGCCGGAGCTCTCAGGCTCAGCCCCGGAGATCATCTCCTCGTTATCTGAGGGCGCTTCACTGCTAATATCGTAGCCATGTTTATGGTTCTCTTCATCCTGAGCTGAGATTGCAGTTGTTGGTGCTTCTTTGATGCTCAGGGCAAGCACATCTGGAGGTGCTACAGTGAATAAAGACTGGTTAAATTGTGAATTTCCTACTAGATTGAGAGTAAAAATAGGTTAAGATAAAAAAAAAAACTTTGATAAACAATTCGGCCCAGACGCCATGATTAAGATCTAAGCCATTAATGACACTTGAGTCAGTGGCATTAACGCATTGAAGATACTGAGTAGCCCACCGCAATGGAAGTACACAGCTGTCTTCAGCTAGTGAAGCCATGCACAACCCGTTAGGTTCCTGCTACTCAAAACAAAGACTGAGAGGGTCAGTTTGATGGATGACATGTGAATGACATTGGCTGTCTTTTCTTCTAACGGCAGGAGAATGCAGTTTGTGGAGGGAAGAAGATTAATCAAGTAGTAGAAAGAATAGTGAAGTGGAAAAGTGTTCACCCTATTTCAAATTCTGTCAGACTGGAAAAAAAGTTCAGCTTATGGTGGGATTCTAAATCCTGGGTTGAGCTACAGACGATACTCCAAAAACTATGTATCTAAATAAAAAAATGTCTTTCCACTGCGTTTGCAATACAGCTACAGTAGTAGTCTGTTTGTGTGTATCTATCAGGACTCCACATCTAGAGATAACTAATCAGAGGTAGGTAGGGTGCCAAAAAAACTTACTCAAGTAAAAGTAGCTCTACTTTAACATATTTCTACTCAAGTAAAAGGTAGTTGTCCAATAAAGTACTAAAGAAAAGGAAACTCGGTGAAAAGGCTACTCAAGCACTTTTCTTATTTAAAATTCCTTCAATCACACGGACCATAAAATAAGGTTAAGTACTAATCCCTTTGGTTTTAAAGACTAAAATAAAGTAATAAATAGGTCAAGATGTTGACGCCGATGGCTGGCCTTATTGCTTATTTCATTCTCCTGTGTCGCAGTGTTTTCTCATCACTGCTCATCTGATCCACCTGCTCCTGCTTCTATTTAAACTACTTGGTCCCAGCCATCAGTGCCACATTATTTCTTTGGTGTTGAGAGTTCTCTAGTGTTTTCTATAGTGTTTTGATTGCCTTATCCTGATCTGTTTCTGTATTTGCCTGTCTGCGCCTGTCTTATCTGTTTGCCTGGCCTGTTTTTAGATTACTGCTGGATTCTTCTGTGGGCTAAACAAGGACTTGCCTCTTGACTTCGCCCTGTGGATTATCCTGCCTCCCTTCGTCTACTCGGACCTTATTTCCTGCCAGTTCTAAACCCAACTCCCCCGCAGAGCCCAGTGCGTTTTATCAACTGACTGGCTGGAGTCATTCTCGTTCTCTTGGCACAGACTGAACTGTCAAACCAGGTTAGTGACTCACGTGTTCATAATCATCCTCCATCAGATTAGTGTGGTCACTAACATGTGTTTCTCTCTTATAAACGTTCCTGTTTTAGACGCTCTAGCCGCTGATACCGCAGATCCACAGACGTTTTATGTTATTCCACTGTCTGTCTTGCCTGAATTCTGAGTCCTCTGTTCCGAAACCTTTCAGAATATAGATTAAAAAAATATTGTAAAACAGAATTCAGGTAGAGGAAATTCCTCAAAATAGTGTTTTTTTATGTATAACATATGAAACAATTAAAATATATAAAGGTGAGTAAGTACAGTAGTACTGTACGTTTTTTAAGTTTTTAAGATAAATGCAACAAGTTACTACCGACATCTGCAAATAGCTAAATACTTTTCTGTGAACAAAAGCTTAAACTCAGTCAGGTTGGATGGAGATAATCTGGAATTTTGTTGAGAATAAAAGAAAGATAAATGAATGAAAAGAATTCAAGAGGTCTCGATACTTTAGTACAGTAGTGGCACAGAGCATCCTGGAGGTAAAATAGCTGCATTTTAAAGACAGAAAATGATGGGTTTCTCATCAGCACATGCAGAAAACACTGTGGTCACACACTGATCTGTAAAATAGAGGGTCTGTTTTTTAACAAGAAACTCTGAAAAACTGATCACTTGAACAAAACCTTATACCTGTTCCTGCAACAGCTTCATGGATTGAGGATGCCTGGCTACTCTTTATTTCAAACAACTCAGTTTGATATGGCTTCAGGACACTGATTCTAGCCCCGTCGGAATCTGCAGGAAATTGGACCTCTCTCCCATCCAGCCATTTTTGAGTGTCCTTATATTTTGCAGCAACATCATCATTGGCTCTGTGAATTTTAAGCTTTGATGCGAGGTCAAACCCATCTGACGCAACGGCTGAGATAGTCAGCTTTCCATGCTTGTCCTCAGGCTCCGTCTCAAAGATCTGGGACTCGGGCGTGTCTAAAATTACAGAGCTACTGACGATGTCCTCCGAGCCTGGAGGAGTCCTTATTTCATGGTCGTCCGAGGCAGCTAAATAAAAAGTTAAAGTGGCTACAAAGAAAAAAAAAGAAGGCAAAAAAATCCAAACAGAATGACATCTTTTCCCTGATGCATCTAAGTGCATTATAATATTTAATTTCAAAGATGCAAATGGATTAAACATCATGCAAATGGATTAAACATCATATATATATATATATATATATATATATATATATATATATATATATATATATATATATATATATGTGAGATTTAATCCGCCAATTTATGATATGAGGCATCAAGTTTGAAATACTTTTTTATATCTTATATTTTTGCAAAACCCTTGGTGTACTTTAGAGTTTTATGTTACAGACCAACACAATGTGAGTACTGTAGAGGTACTGGGGTGGACCATTCAGTCCATCACAGAGGACTGTTCTGTCCATTAGCTGAAAATGGAAAGGGCATAACATGCGTCTGTCCACATAAACTGAACAGCTGGGAAAGGAGACATTAATCACACATTCCTTAGGAGGAGCTGCAGAGACCAACAGCTTAGGTTGAGGAAACTTGGAAACTATTATTGGTAGTGGCAAAGCAAAAAAAGGAATATGGAACTAAATTGGGACCATTCGTTTTTTAAGAAAAAACATAGTTTGACAAAAAAAATTAAAGATTTATATCTAAAAAGAAAAAAAAAGGTTGTTTAAAAGATAACAGTTAAAGCTGGGGGAAAAAAAAGGTTTATTAAAAAAATAGCATTAGAGGATATCAGTAGTTCTTTTGAACAAACATTTTTTCCAGGTATAAATCTTTTATTTTTTTAAACAAACTTTTATTTTTCAGGTTTAAATTTTTCTTTCTTTCTTTTTTTTTATTTTTTAAAGAAATTGCATGGTCCCAATTTAGCTCCACGAAGGAAGGGTCTCTTGTCAGATTGAACTATAATTTCCTTGATCTGTGTGCAACACGCTACATATTGCAGAAGTTTGTGGTGGCAGTATTATGCGGTGGGGATGCCTTCATCTTCTTCAGCAGGGAAAGAGGAGGTTATCACAGTTGATGCAAAGATGAATGGAAATTAATACAGGACGATCCTGCAGGCATACTTTAGCTGTAAGCAGGTTTACATGGATTCTCAGACATTTACTGTTATTTAAAAAAATATATATATATATATTATTTTCTATTTGGAGTTGGTCTATGACATAAAATCTCCCAATAATGTCCTACGGTGAAAAAGAGTGCTGAATACTTTTGCAAGGCATGTACAAATTTACTTAAAAAAGTTAATTGATCTTTAAACAGCTTATTTTAATGCAGTTTTGACTAAACTCTTCAACAATTTTTTAATAGGTGGTGGATTTTCGGAAATGACATCTTAAATGAGCCTAGCGCTGTTCCAACTTTTAAATGTTGCCCACCAACCTGTGGATGCTGTCAGGGAGACAGGCCTGCTCCTCTTGTGCCCCCTCTCTGCAGTCAGAGTCATGGTGTAGCTCATACCAGGAATCAGGTCAGAAAGGACGAATGTGTTTGCAGAGGCTGGGATGTCCACCTGTTCAGCCTGACCATCTCTGGACATGTACTCCAGCCTGTAGCCACTGAGTTTAGCCTGAGGTTTCTGCCAGCTGACGCTGAGGGATGTCTCGGTGGACCTGATCTGTTTGAAATCCCTCGGGGGGTCGAGCTCTAACAGAAGTCACACAAAGAATCCCAAATAATAAATTACATAATTTTACATTTACAGTTTGTAATATTTTCAATAAATAATGAGGAGTTATTGGTCGTTAAAAAAGTTTCATCTACACTTTTATCAACAGAACATTCTGTATATTTATGTAGATGGACGCTTTGGACAGCTGTGCAGTTGCTTCTCTCACCAGTTGCTGCATTTGTAGTAGCAGGGAGGCTCTCCCTTTCATGCTTCACAGCTGTCACCCCCACCCCGTACTCTGTGCCTGGCTTCAGCCCTGTAGCACACAGAGATGGAAGGTTAATGACTATATGGTGAAAGAGATGAAACTCTGGAGGTTACACTTATGAATTTCCCACCATGTTTTCATACTGACCAGTGATGGTAGCCTGAGTGGTGCGTCCTGATCCTCGTGGGAAGACTCTCTCACCATGACTGGAGCCAGAGATGGGGGTGTACTTCACTCGGTAACTGCTGACATCAGCTTGACTGTTGGTCCACTCTAGAGTGATGCTGTCATCGGTTTGAGACACAGCTTGCGCCGCTGTGGGGGCATCCAGTTCTCAGGGAAGGAAGAAAATGGATGTAATCAAACAAAGTACGGAAGTTTTACAACTAATTTCTTATTTCCTCTTTACTTTTAATGCATTATCTTTGCTTTTCTCAGCAGTTGCTTAAAGTTTAGCATCCACTAATTCTAGATAACATCAATTAGGTATCTGGTTCTGTCATAACTGACAGTTGGACAATCCAGTGTCTATAACAATTTTATACCTGTTGTCCCTACTTGATGCGTCTATAAATGATGACTCCCTGCAAATCAAGCTATTTACAGCTCGCTCATATTTAAGGAGGATCTGGGTGCTTAATTTGCAATGAGTGTTTACTTATAGTTTACTTATATCAAAAATTTGCCAATCAGTACAAATATACTTTGCTGCATTCTCAATATGTCATGCTTTTTTAATACTTCGACGGTCATACATATGATAACATTTTTGAGTATGGTTTTCTGGTGCTACTTTTCTAACCCCAGATGAGGAAAGCTTGTCTTCACTGCAACATCACCTCTCCATATGTGCATTACTGCCATTTAAACTGAATGGCCACTACTACATAGAGACTGGAATTCCACTACTAAAGCATGACAGTGTGGGAATCATGCATCTACTTGGATATTCCTTTGGCTGACTGGTCAGTGCGCATGGCTTTCTCACGTTAGTCTGGGTATTGAATCTCACCCAGGCCCTCTGTAGTGTACCTGGCATTCTGGTGGTGCTCGCAGGATCCATGTACTATGCTGGCTAAGTGGTCAAAGGGGTTTCTAAATGGTTTCCGCAACCTGCGTGGAGCATAAGCATGTCTTTGGGGAAAAAGGGTGAGATGTGTGACAGTGTGGGGGTGCTGTCACTCTGACTGATCACGTGCCCTTGCTGCTTGGTAAAAGGGATGTAACTTTGATTGACTAGTCAGTCAGCATCACATTCATGCTGGGGATCGAATCCTGGGCCCTCTGTAGTGTATCTTGCCACAAACGGAACAGCTTGTTGTGGTTGACCAAACAACCATCCACCCATTTTCTCCGCCTAGTCCTTGTCATTATCACAGTGGGGCCGATGCCTATCTCCGGCAGTTTACGGGTGAGAGGCAGGGTACATCCTGGACAGGTCGCCAGTCTGTTGCAGGGCAACACTGAGACACACAACCATGTACACACACACTCACACCTAAGGGCAATTTTGAGAAGCCTATTAACCTAACAGGGATGTTTTTGGACTGTGGGAGGAAGCCGGAGTACCTGGAGAGAACCCACGCATGCAAGAGGAAAACATGCAAACTTCATGCAGAAAGACCGTGGGCCATCGAACCCAAAACCTTCCTGCTGCAAGGCAAGAACACTACCCACTGCCCCCCTCTGCAGCCTGTTGACCAACCATTTTTCATTAAATTAGCTGGTCTACATAAAGGTCAAATAACCTGACTGTGCACCTTGAACCTGGGATACACTGCAATATTTTAAATTGTCGCTGGCAGACCCAACTCAAATTGTGCGAATCAGTCACAGTTCAAAAGTTCACAGATTGCAATGTATGTCCTCACGCTGTACAAACGGGCCCTCCATACAATCTGACTATTCACAGTGTACGTCCTTAATGTAAGGTTGGGGTCTTGAACAATCCAGACATGCAATGCAATAAATAGAGGTGGATAGCAATAGAAGTAGAAGAGGGCTTCCTGAATGCATAATGGGAAAATCTCCACGGAAAGGTTCTCAGTCTGGTCATGTCACCACTTCAATCAGCGATTCACTCATAAGCCACAACCAAAATATCAAACAGGTTTGATTCTCTTACAACCCACAATTTCTAATCAGTAGCTCGTCTTCAGTTGCCAATTTCTTCTTGTGACCCCCTTTTTTAATGCGTTACACATGATTTGACCAAGAATTGGCCCGATTCTTAAACTTGTTGCACAACTGGACCTTAAATTCCTGCAAAGGTAAGTCTGGCTAACTTAGCTAAACTTAAATAGGTTCCTCTAATGCTATTTCATCGGTTTTGCTACTGTTAAAATTGCTGAAATTTACGACCAATGAATACATTGTCAAACTTAGCCATGTTTGAGCGACTGTTGAACATGTGGAGAATGTACTGTGACAATAACTGGCATGACCTCCAAAAATGCTGTGTTCCTCAGTATGAGTGATACCTGAGGTTTATTTAGACATACATGAATTAAGTGAAATACCGCTTTGGACATGATTTTGATAAAGGAATAGCATTATAACACAGTTAAAAGCCATGAAAGTTGATTTTGCATGATCTGTGTCCCTTAATAAATCACACGATTCAACCAGGAAATGAAATTGTTGTGCAAAATGCATCCAAATGGTTTTTTTGAACATCAGGTTTCAGAACTGGAGTTATAGACACTGGTCAATAAAAATGTGACAACTGGGATTCTAATCAAATATCTATTGGAACCAAATAGGAATGATAAAGTTATAGGTAAATCAAACTCCTACCTGTTGTAAATATGGTGGTAACAGGGTCACTGGTCGCCTCTTTGTGCCTTGAAATGATTGACACAGCATACTCTGTGTCTGGTTTCAGGTTGTCTATGCTGTATTGTTTGTCTGATGGAGAGACGTCAACTGTGGTTTCATCTGAGTGGTTGGAGCTGGGCATGTAAAAAATGGTGACCCCATCCGCTGGAGCCACTGGCAGATACCAGCTGATTAGCGCCGAGGAGTCTGTGACATCCTTCACCTCCACCTGCCTTGGGCCATCAATCTCTGGAGAAGAAAATCAAGGAGGAGGAAAGATTGTTTTGCTAGTATAAAAAATAAAATGACACATGCAACTTATAAAGCCAAAGAAAACAGAAGCAAATCTTATAACACTATGAAATTCAAGAAGGAAATATATTCCAAAATAGTATTGCTTAACTTTCCTAAAAGTAGTAATCAAGAAAAGAACAAGTAAATTGTTAATGATTACCATAACTATTGCCAGATAAATGAAAATATTTGATCAAGATACAAAATACCGCTGGAAATACAAATGGATTCTCTTTCATTCTGGCTTCATGTTTCCTACCTGCTGTAGAAAAGGCTAGTGGTTCATTCTTTACTGTAGATCCAGGTTTTAAAGAACCTCTGGGAGCTTGACAGTCTGAAAGCTTTGAGCTGTCTATTATCAGTCATTTCTGGGAGATGGTTCAAGTTTCAATCTACCCAAATAAATGACATCGGTAATGAAATGTCGGGGTCCGGGGGGCTCCCTTACTACAGACCTGAAAACTTAATGACTTTGCCAGACACACAACTGAAGATATTTGGCCTGGCAGGCTGAAGGGTTACGTAAGGGTCTTGGAGGGAATTTATAACATCAAGTATGGGGTATTTGAGCAGTAAAAAATATCACTAAGCAAAGAATAGGGCTAAATGGAAGATTTAATGACAAGAAAAATTACCAGCTTGATATAGAGCTTTGAATGAATCCAAACTAGCAGCCATTTCCTGTTATAATTCTCTTCATTATTATGGAATTTCACCCAGCAACTTTTTTCTAGCAGTCTGCGAAGATTACTGGTAACTTCAGCCTTTTAAGAAGTGCCAGAGAACGCTTTACAATCCTGTTCTCATCGTATGATTACATATTGGCTCAAAACCTACTGGTGGTGACAGTTCTAGATGTTTGGGGTCCTCTGGTGTTGTTCTTCACAACGTTGATGGAGACCTCATATTCCTGTCCTGGTCCAAGCCCAGACTGGAGAAACTCGTTTTGGGAAGGTGGAAGAGTGCTCACAACTTTTCCATTTTCCTCTTTCTGTGTCAACACAAGCATGAGCATAAATGAAAAATATGAAGGAAAACAAAAACAAATTTCACCCTAACTTAAATCATATCCTGTTGTTTAAGATACATAAAGAGAGATAAAGGATACAAAAATGAAATGTTTTTAAAGACTCAACTTCTTAGTTTAGCATAGAATAGCGTAGTATGGTGTATCATAATTTTATAAATTATAAGAGATAATATTGAAGTTCCACTGTGTTTTACCCTTAAAATAATTGGTCACGATGATTTACATTTACAAGCAAGCAAAGTTAGCATCTCTTTTTATAAATTATACAGGCTACTTATGGTGTAGCAACCAAAGGGCCTCAACTATTCATTAGCCAAATCCTGCTCCAACATTAAAAAGTACAAAACTAAACAAAAGTATGAATAGTCTCAGAAATTGTATTTAATTTTTTATATATTTTTATCATTCTGACCATCTATTAAAACTCCTTTTTAATTGTGTCATTAAAAGGACTTCAACCTTATTTTATGTTAAAGTGTATGTATACATCAAGAAAATCAAAATAACTGTGTATGAATGTAACATATAAGAATCGGAGAGTAACATAATAACAAAACCATATTTTTTTTATAAGTAATTGCATCAAACTTTACCATATATTGCCAATCTTATGAACAATTTGTACATGTCAGGATCCTATTTCTTTGCTTTCTGTTATTTTTTTTATACATGACAAACATCATCTTTACTTCAATGCTTGACAAGAAAGAAGGAAAGCATAAAAAAGGAAAACAACCTCTAAACAACTTTTATACTTGTATTTATATTTGCATTTGTATATTCAACTTGCATTTTGTTATTGGATTCTAGTAGCTTGAGGTGGTAAACAGTCTCCTTTAAAAGTAAAATGTCTGATACTGATTTCAAGGATTCACATCTAAGCTGACATCTAACTGCAATGCAGCAGAACAAAACTAAAGGTCAAAAAAAGGACAGCCTGATTTGAGTTTAGGAAAAGTAAAAATAGGACAGGAAATCAAAAGCTTTGACTTATCAGCTGCCACAGTCATTTCCTTTAAAGCATGTCTGCCTCAGATATCTCGTTGCGGGTTTAGCTGCAGTTCTTTGACATCAAGATATGCCCTCAGTGAGGTTTTTAAATGTCAAAGCAAATTTAATGGTTAGCGCTGAAATAAATCTTTTAGGCTGAAGTTTTGAAAAAGCTGGCACAACTTATTGCCTCTCACTTTTTCCATGACGATTATTAAACACGAAGGACACTGTTAAGGAAAGGGTCTGTTATACTAACCGTGTTGCGGAAATAAATCTCCCAGCTGTCAAACGAAATGTCCAGCTGGTCCCAGACAACCTCTACAGATGTTTCCCTCACTGATTTGAATCTTACACCTTCTGGCTGTGGGAGATCTGCAGAGATGGAGGAAATATAGTTAATATAGCTGCATTTTTCTCTGCAGACATTAGTTGCAGTCACTGGGAGGATTATGATGGAGTACCTGTGGCCACTCTTGCACTGACAGGAATGCTCCTCTTGTTGCTCAGGACAGCATAGACACTGATCAGGTATTCAATGCCAGGTTCCAGCTCTTTAACGGTTGCAGCGTTTTTATCTCCAGGAACAGTGAACTCCATGAGGAGACCCCCTGGACTCGTGGGGACGTACGTAATGAGGTACTCAGTGACCAGCATTTCATTGTTCCAGGACAAGTCCACAGTTTCTGTGCTGACTTCGCCAACAGTCAGGTCCTTTGGAGGAGACACTGGAAACAAGACAAAAAATATGTGGAAGTTCTGTTTTCAGATGGTTTCGTATGCCTTGAGGAAGCAAATATCCACCATGTGGCAGTATGGCAAACTACAGAGCTACATCTGGCTGTGTGGTGTGAAAAACTGCCAAGACGGAACATATCAAGAGCAGACCACTACAGCACACAAACCAAAACCTTTTATATCCACCAAAATAGTTTCTCCCTGGATTAGTGGGTAGCGACTTTGAGAACACAAGGAAATTACGTCACACTGAATCTCCCTTTATACTAAATCAAGTTAACACATGGAAACTCTCAGAAACTCAACATTCAAATCTCTCTGTTTGTATGTCAATACTGTGTCTTACCTTCGGAACAGTCTTCTCCGATGTACCCCTCATCGCAGAAACACTGACCATTCACACAGCGACCTTTGTCCTGACAGTTGTTGATGCAGCTCAGGTCTGCACAGCTCTCCCCTTCATATCCACTGTCACATGTGCACCTCCCATTGACACAGCGCCCTCTGTTGTTGCAGTTCTCTGGACAAGCGAGGATAGAGCAGCTTTCTCCTGTGTATCCCTCATGACAGAAGCACTTGCCATCAATACAGTAACCCCTTGCCAGGCAGTCATTGAGACAAGCTTTCTGACTGCAGTCTTCCCCACTGAACCCCTCGTCGCACACACATTGCCCGTCGATGCACCTGCCACGGTTATTGCAGTTGTTTGGGCAGCTCAGCTGACTGCAGTCTTCACCAACGTAGCCCACATGGCATGCACAGCGTCCCTCAATACACTCCCCACGCCCATAGCAGTTTGACGGACAGGTGTGTATGCTGCAGTCTTCACCTGCAAAGCCTTCATCGCAAACGCACTGTCCATTAACACAGCGCCCCTTCAGCTGACAGTTGTTCGGACAGGAGAGTTCGGAGCAGTCATCTCCATGAAAGCCGGCATCACAAGAACACCTTCCGTTGATGCACTGGCCTCTGTTGTGGCAATTATTCACACATGCAACCTGGCTGCAGTCTTCACCTTGGTACCCAGAGTCACAGATGCAGACTCCATTGAAGCACCTTCCCCTGTCATTACAGTCATTCAGACAGGTGAGCTGAGAGCAGTCTTGTCCACTGTATCCAACAGTGCAAATACATTTACCATCAACACAGAAACCATTGCCACGGCAGTTATTGGGGCAAGAAAAATCTGCACAATCCTCCCCACTAAAGCCTTCGTCACAGTAGCAGGTGCCATTAACACAGCGTCCTCGGTCATAGCAGTCATTGGGACAGATGAGTTCAGAGCAGTCTAAGCCAGTCCAAGGTTCATCACATATGCAGTCTCCCTCATCGCAGCGACCACGGCCAAGGCAGTTGTTCAAACACCGACTTTCCGAGCAGTCTTCCCCAAAGAAACCATCTGAGCAGACACAAACTTCTCTTTCGCAGATGCCATGGGCTCCACAATCCATTGGGCAGGTCTTGAGGGCACAGTCTTCTCCGGTGAAGCCCTTGTAACATTCACATTTTCCATCCACACAGCGGCCACGGTCCTGGCAGCTCGTGGGACACTCGCCCTCAGTGCAGTTGGGCCCCCTCCAGCCAGGATCACATATGCAGGCGCATGTTTCAGTGCTGTACTTTCCATGGCCGTTACAGTATGGTTTCGTTCCTAACTCTCCTGTTAAAATAAAAAAGAGTTAAATAAATTGACGGTTTGGGGATTCTCTCATCATATTTTATCAAAAGGTTCACTGTAAGTGGATTCATGATATGTTGGGGTTGACTTTGCAAAAAAAGTCAAAATCCCATACAAGTAAATCCCAGGCACAGATAAATCAAATGAATGTACTGAGTAAGACTTTTGGCATTAATGGGTGTTACAGCTTTACGGAGTGTGAAAATATATTACATAGAGGATTGTATTTCTCTGCTGGCTTGTAGGCATACCTGTAAGCTGTTCACTGCTGCATTGATCCCTCAAAGCTGAAACTTCTCCTTCAAGCATCTCCAGACGGCTCATGAGCTCTTTCAGGCCTGGAAAGTCATCTTTACAACCGCAGGCCTGCCGAGGTATGTTGATGCGATGGGTGAATAAAATCTGGTTTTCCCCATTAAAGGTATGTTCAGTGACATGGTGGCCCTGTGGAACTGCTGCTATGTCTTTAGAATGGACGTGTGCACCCTCAGGTGACTCCAGGTCTACAGAGCACAGGGAACTTTCAGGAACGTTGATATTATAAACATGACTGAAAACCACTGGATGGTCTGCACTCGGAAAGGTCACATTGTGTTCTGAAGGGGGAGAAAGAGTCTGTCGTTTATGGCGGAGGATTTTCTTGACAAATCCAGCATTTGTTAAACTAATCAAAGTAATCAGAAGAAGGAAGCCTAGAAGACTGTGTGTGCCCATGCTAGACGTATAGAAAAGGTACTGGGGAAAAACTTCTGGTTTCAAGGGCAATGCTGCTCACAACGAACAATCTGAAAAAGACCAACAGATAAAAAAAACTGTTTAAGGTTAAGTTTAAGTGAAGGTTGACTTTAAAAGTTGTTAAAGGGGAAGTTATTAAATCATGCTTAATTAATGCAGAACTAATGTCTGTTTAAAAGGAGTTAGTCAGACATGATGGTAACCAAACTGGGCTTTTAATCACACCCAAACACGGCTTAAATCCTTTTCAACTGATCGCTAAATCATAGCCTATGAAAGCCTGTTTCAAGCATTACTATGAAATCTGCTCAAGCTTATTGGTAAGCACCCCAAATATCATAACAAGCATGGGAGATGCCTTATCCATATGTATTTATGGAGCAATGGCATTTTATATATATATATATATATATATATATATATATATATATATATATATATATATATATAT